CTGCTGGCCCAGGACCAAGCCGGTCTTGAGAGTTTGGTCAACAAGTTCTCACTGGGCCCCCTAGCAGGCAGCCCCTGAGCTGACCTCAGCTGGGTTGGAGCTGAGTGGGGTCTGTCTCATCTCCTCACTCACCAGCTCCCATACCTTCAAAGGCTGCTCTCGAATGGAGTTCCCAACTGCCCAAGGTGTTCGAAGTCCCCGCTCTGACCGATGGTCTGCAAGTCCACACAAGCACCCCACTTCAGCTCCCTCCCTGCTTCGCTCACACCCCCACCCTGTCTGGGAGGCTTTCGCCCCCTCAGTACTCACCCCCCCAGGGACAACCCTGCTGCCTGTGCGCCCTGCAGTCCAGCCCGCTGAACACGCATGCTCACACTCTAGGCCTGGGCTCACACTTGATCCCAGCCCTGATTCTCCACCCATGAAAATGGAGACAGACTCCAAGATCCAATCCAGATGCCTCGGCGCTTTCCAGTGTAAAGTGCTGAGCAGGAACAGTGGCTCCCATTCCTGGGTGACCCCATACTGTCATCTCCTGTCCCTTCGCAAATAGTTGGCATCTAACACACACACTTCCTGGGAAAAGGTGGATTTCCTTTCCAGAACCAACGTTCAGCCAAAACATCACTATAGATCTTCCTTCTCATCTGGGGGTTCTGGTTCAACCCAGGGAAGGAATGCAAGGGGAACAGAAGTTGACACGGTCACTGACCACTCCAGACCCAAGGATGGGAGGATGCTGGCATGTTGGAAAACGCTGCCTGCTTTGGGGGCCCCCAGGAATGTCATGTCCATGTTGTCTCCTGGTGATGGCCAGGCACCCAGGGCAAAATGCCTCAAGACCTCTTCCAGGAAAGCCAGGTCCACCAGCCAGCTCTTGGACAGGGCAGGTCCCTTAGAGAACCAAGCACTCACCAATTCTCCTGACCAGGGTCCATGACTGCACCCATGCCAGGTGCTTGCTAGATCCAGGGCCCTCTGACTATGGACATGAAAGTCAAGCTTAGGGGTTAGGAGCTGGGGAGCCTGAGTCAGAGAGACGTGGCTAGATTCTAGCTCTGCAGCTTACAGGCTTGGGTGGTGCTGGCACACCTGTTAACCTCTCAGAGCCTCCTGTGCAAAACAGGGAGGCCCACCTTTATAAATAAGCACCAGAAGAGAGACTGTAAGAAGGCTTAGCCCAGTGCTGGGCACACAGCGTGTACCCAATAAATCCTGCGCTTATTATTCCCAGGCTGGTCCTGTGAGCCAAAGCACCCACTGGTCCAACCATCACGTGAACAACACCTGGGGCCAAGTCACCATCCAGGTCAGGGTTCAAGGCAGCCCCTTTAGGTCACACACATGTGGCCTGGATGGCAGGAACGAGGGCTGCCTCTCCTGCCTCTAGGATGGATTCTCACGCAGCCCCAAGGCCCAGGCAAAGCACTTTCTCTTAAAGTTAAACAAGAACTCTCAGCAGGGAATGCCTGGACCAGGGGGGAGAGCTCGGAGGTTACTGTTAATGTGAATCTTTCCAAAAAGCCCTTCTCACATAAACAAACACCTTGGAAAGGCAGCCTGACTTCTCTGGAGCTGCCCTGTCCTGGGATGTGGGGAGGATGAGTCCTCGGGGGCAGGGGCCCGCAGCTGGCAGGAGACGCTCCCGCAGCTGAGAGGGGGGCTCGCGCCTGTTGAGAACAGAGCGTACCCCGCAAGGTCCAGCCACCACATCACATATGTCCATGTGTTTGATCAAAGGCCCTTCAATTTCTCTATTTGTCTCTTTTGCCCGGTTACGTAACTCCACCCGCCCGCCTGCCGCTGAGCTATCCTACACGCACTTCTGCTCTCTAACCACTGTGTCACCTGGACACTTCATCACCACTCGTGGCGTTAAGACAACAAAACTTGAGGTGGTTGGAGCCGGTCTCCCAAAGAGAGCACCCAGGACTTTTTCTTCCTAACTCTGCTGGTCACAGACGGAGAAGGAAAGGCCCTCCCCAGCACGTACAGCTGCCTCCTGTGTCCAAGTGCTTAAAAAGACCGGACCCCCGTCCCTCCTCCCACCCCATGCAAAGACCACCTTGTATCCACGAGGTGGGCCGACTGCCACGGATGCTGAGCCACTCACGTCCGTACCTTTCATGTAGGCCTCGATCTTCCGGATGAGCTCATAGGACTTGGACCGGTCAAGCAGGGTTCTGATGGCAGGAAGGGGGTCCAGGACAATGGTCTCAGGGTGGGCATCAATGTATTCCTGAGAGGAAAGAACACTCCCTCCGGTTAGAGAGGGAAGACTGATGCTGAAACGAGGGTGACAAGCAAGATTGCATCCCGCGTGCCATCCCCGCATCCATCTCTCTGTTCTCCATCCCCCCACCAGCCCTGGCCTCTGGCTGAGGCAACACGTGGTCTCAGGAAACTGCCTCTACCCACTCAGCCCCACTGGGATCACATGACTTCGGTCAGGCCAGTCAGCATGTTCCACCTCCTGGGGCTGCCGGCTCAGGAGAGGACACGTGACCCGAGTCCATTCAATCAGAGGCAGGCTCAGCGCTGTTGTTGGAAATGCTAGGACAGGAGCACTGTCCCTCCCTGAGGACAAGAGGAAGCTGGGAGACTGGGCAGCTGGGAGCAGTCATCCTGGGATCTGAAGGAGAGAGAGCTGATGGAGCCCAAAGCGAGAAAACAGAGCCGAGAAAAGGAGAACAACTCAGTTCTGGCCAGCTTGTTCAACTCCTGGATAAAGCCTCACCTGAAACCTGATCTGCTCCACGGGTGGACTATGCTCAATGAGTGGCCAGCGCCCTGCACTGATACGGGTTCTGAGGCAGGGCTGGGGAGAGTGGGATGCCAGGATTCAGTAGGTCTGTGGGAAGGTGATGAGACACTCGCCATGGGGCAGCCACCCGGCCCGCAGGTGCTCACTCCAGTAAGTGCTTTTTAATACCCATTAGCTTCATGGTAGACCATGGAAATGCAAGCAGAACTATGATAAGGTTAGTCTTTAAGGCAGTTACAATCTTCTTGGGGAAATAACGTTAAGGCACGTGAGGAACAAGAAACCGTTATTTTCAATGTAATTCAACAGAAGACAGAGCAAGATGTGTCCAGGAAAAGAACTCGGGGATCTTGGGCCCCCATGAGACACCTCTGTGACTCCAAGAGCTCCGAGTCACAACAGGGGGCTAGGGCAGCTTGCCAGGAAGACAAAGTAAATAAGACCATCCCTCTGGCTCTAAAACTCCATGATTCTATGGACACAAATGGGGGATGCTGGAGTAACAGGAGAGGGGCTCAGAGACAAGGCTGGGTGTAAGGAAGGCCATTCACTAGCTGTTGTTACTGTGGGTTGAATTGTGCACACCCACCGCCGGATCTGTTCAAGTCCTAACCCCCGGTCCCTGTGAACATGACCTTATTTGGAAATGTCTTTACAGATGGAGTCGAGTTAACATGCGGCTATACAGGATTAGGATGGACCCTCATCCATTGACTGGTATCTTCAAGACGAGGAAAATCTGGACACGGAGACACACAGGGAGAAGGCTGTGTGAAGATGAAGACAGTGACCAAGCTCAGCTACAAGCAAGGATGGCCAAGGACCACGGGCCACCAGCAGATTCCCCCTCAGTCTCCAGAAAGAACCAATCCTGCAGACACTTTGATTTTAGACTTCCAGCCTCCTTAACCGCGAGAGAATGAATGTCTGTTGTTTTAGGCCACTTAGTTTGTGGTACTTTGTTACGGGAGCCCCAGGGAATAAATACACCAGCTTAATTCACCCCTCCCCGCCCATTCCACAAGATCTGTCAGTGAGGTCAGCAGAGGCCAGGAGGAAAAGCCATAATGCTTCTCTTCTAGTAAACCTTATCAGAAAAAAGAACACTCCATTTGGGATTTTTTTTTCCCCTGGTGAACCTATTTTGGTTCCTAGTCATCATTTTTAAGAGCTCTCAACACGAAAGCCAGAGATTCATATCTACCTCTCTAAAATCTGTTCCCGCCTTGTGTTTCATACCAAAGTAGCTGGTTATGAGCTTATTGGTGTCTTTTTCTCTGGATGTTTAAAAGAAGTCTCCGTCCCTGAGGGGTGGCCCGTGCACGCATCTGGGGAGGACTTCTTCCCGTCCTCACACCTGTGAACGCCACAGGGCCTACACGCTCTCGCCGCAGAAGGTCCTCTCCCAGCATGTGCATCTGCAGACCCAAATGCAGAACAGAAGCTGCCTTCGCGACTTCCTCCTCCTCCTGAGAGCCTGGCCCGCTGCCCTGCTCGTACAGAACAAGCAGGCAGCTGATGCAGGAGGGCCCACGTCTGGCACCCCCGGGGGACGTGGGAACGAGGTGAGAGATGTCTGTAAGGAAGGTCTATCCAAGGATATAACTTGGATAGGTTCTCTCTCCTACAGCCTCACTTCAGGGTACTGAACCTCTCTGCTGCGGGCTCCCCAGAGGCAACTCTCCCCATCGGCACTGCTCCTGCACCGGAGCTTGCTCCTTTGAACCAGATCTACGCTGCCACCAGAGCATGTCATTCGTGAGACACCAAGATCGACATATACGACCGAAATCATGTTAATGTCCTCATGTTAAAAGGTCATCCACTCAACAAACTTCACAGCATCCACAGCGCTCAGGGCATCGTGCAGGGTGCAAACAACACTGGACGAATGACAGCCTTCTAGGTTTTCCCCTACCGGATCTGGTCAATGAATTCACGTTCTGGGCTACGAACTGAAAGCACTGCAATGCCCTCACCACCCCCTGCCAGGAAGCAGTGCAGTACAGAGGGAAGAACAAGGGACTGAGAGTCAAGAAACCCAGTCTCAGGGCTTCCCTGGTGGCACAGTGGTTGAGAGTCCGCCTGCCGATGCAGGGGACACGGGTTCGTGCCCCGATCCGGGAAGATCCCACATGCCGTGGAGCGGCTGGGCCTGTGAGCCATGGCTGCTAAGCCTGTGCTCCGCAACGGGAGAGGCCACAACAGTGAGAGGCCCGCGTACAGCAAAAAAAAAAAAAAGAAACCCAGTCTCCCGCTGTGATCACCTTCCACTGTCACCTTGGGCGAGCCATTTGGTTTCTCTCGTCTCGGTTTCCTTGGCTGTGAGTTGCGAGTGTAAGTTGGAGAAACCTAGGAGTAGTGTTTAGGAGGCACACTTCAAGGCCACACACGGGGCTGTTCTAGAACAGGACGGGCAGCCACTGGTAGAGGCATTACAGGTAATGGCAGGGACACACACAAGCTCACTGCTTTCCTTCGAAAGGAAGGTGACATCAGAGACGTTGCTTCAATGGGCTGGCCCAATTCTCCCCCAGCCACCGAGGTCCAGTAAACCATGACCCGCCCCCAAATGTCCCCACCGCAGAACCGAGAAGAATGTCCACACCGCAGAACCGAGAAGAACGTCCACATGGTTGCCAGATAACACAAAGCTGGTTCTGGTTCCTCTTTTGTGCATATTAGGGCAGCGGCCTTTATTGAGAGAACTCAGACTCATTAAGACGTGAATTGAAGCCAAAGAAGCTAGAAGAAACCAAAGGAGGGAAGATGTGACAAGCAGGCACCAACAAGCTTTTGACCCGGGATGAAAGCATCAGAATTAACAGAAGAATTATTCCTAAACGTGATCTCTTTTGGGACAAGGACGGAGAGGGCAAAAAAAGAGTTTTTCCAATCACCCCATTATCCACAAGCGGATTTTCTTCCAAGCCTTTCAGTTTATCTATTGTATCGCAGGCTTCATGCATTTTTCACAGGTCTCTTAGAATTACCAAACAAATTGCTGGAAGGGTGAGCGCCCTGTTACCGTTTTATCACCACTCGAGGAAGAAAGGCCCAAACCGTCTCCATGGCAAATGGTAAACACATGTTCTGTTAGACAGTCTGCCCCGAAACACCTAGAAAGGGATCCTGGAAGTTTACAAGGAAGAGTCTGGCTTTAAGCAGCTAAAGCAAGGGAAACGCAGAGATCTATAGCTCGGGGTCAGCAGGGCCAGGAAGAAGTCTAGAGAATACTGACAACGGGGCACAGATGGGCCAGATGCCCCCGCCCCCCGAGGCCCATGGGGTGATGACGCCAAGAGGGGCACCGGGCCCTCTGCTGGGCTTGGGAGGAGTGGGCAGGGGTCAAGTTTTCCCCACTGAGAATCTGAGCCGAATGAGAGATGAACCGAGATGAACAGGAGAGATACCATTTCCTCTGCAGTTCCATGCGTGGCCAGGAAAGGAGGAGCGGGACACAAGGATTTGCTCTCAGCTAATAGAAAATGCAGGTGGGAGTCCCAAGTTTAAATCCTGCCTCTGCCACCTTATGTCTGTGGAGAAGAAACTGGAATTAATCTCTGACATTTCATTTCCTGTGTGTAAACGTACATTTTGTTATAAAACCTATCTCAGGGAGCTGCCATGGACAACGAGATGACAGTGACAGATATGAAAAGAGTTGGTAGGGGGAGTTCCCTGGTGGTCTAATGGTTAGGACTCAGCTCTTTTTTTTTTTTTTTTTTTTTTAAAGATGTTGGGGGTAGGAGTTTATTAATTAATTCATTTTATTTTTTTGCTGTGTTGGGTCTTCGTTTCTGTGCGAGGGCTTTCTCTAGTTGCGGTGAGCGGGGGCCACTCTTCATCGCGGTGCGCGGGCCTCTCACTAACGCGGCCTCTCTCGTTGCGGAGCACAGGCTCCAGACGCGCAGGCTCAGCAGCTGTGGCTCACGGGTGTAGTTGCTCCGCGGCATGTGGGATCCTCCCAGACCAGGGCTCGAACCCGTGTCCCCTGCATTAGCAGGCAGACTCTCAACCACCGCGCCACCAGGGAAGCCCCAGGACTCAGCTCTTTCACTGCCATGGCCCAGGTTCAATCCCTGGTTGGGGAACTGAGATCCTGAAAGCTGCACGGTGCAGCCAAATAAATTTTAAAAAAAGAAAAGAGTTGGTAGATACAAAAACAAAAAGGATTCTCATGGTTCTGCAGCACATGGACCCTTAGGGCCCAACCCGACCTAAGATCTCTGAGTCCATTGTACCCTACCCTGCCTGGCAGACAGGGGGGCGGGCCACCTCTGCACTTGGGGCGAGCATCTAGAGCATGACACGATCCCCGGCCCAGGGCAGCCGAGGCTGCAGTGAGCAACCCTCTGCAGACAGCTCAGGTCCTGACAGAGCCCAGCTGCAGGTGGCCAGCCCGCTCCTTACAGGGAAGCAGGAAAGGCACCCAGTATCCACCCGCTGGATCCTCAGGAGGTAATAGGGCTCTG